CACTCTCTACCAATGTTTCAGCAGCTCAGATCAACAAAAGAAAAGGATTTTAAGGTAAAGGAAATGTTAATGGAGTTTTTAAAGGAGAGAATAATGTTCACATGATGTAAAGAATTTCGTGGAGACACAGTCCAAGAGTAATCGATTCATCAGTAATGATCATGTGAGAACAGTGGATGTACTGCCTCTTTTTGAACGAATGATTCATAACGGGGCGCTAATTTTTAGAGCGCTTATACCGCACTTTAGAGCACTTTTAGATACAAAGATTAACGGATGACTGGGGTTGCAAATTATGCTGATAAGACAGGGGCGTAAATCGACAGTTCGAAGGTCAAGGAAGTGACGCGAGTTTGGCACAATGTTGGATTACTGACTGGTTTGTAGCAACCTCTTACTTCTACAATTCATTCATTATTAAAGAGAAAATTAATTGATAATATTTCTAAAGTTTATTTTTACATCCTTGCAACGAACCGTTCAGAAAAATTGCGGAATTCTCCTTATCTTTGCACTTTTCCACTAGGTTTGTTAAATAGGTTTCTATACTCCTTGATTTGGAATGCTCACGGATCTGAATAGAGTGAATTCTTTAAGAAGATATTCTTGAAACGAATTGTTATGTACACGACGGGCAGGGTTGAATGACTAGTTTATTTATTATTACTAACAATTAGGGTCTGTTCTAATTTTGAAAATTTTGAAATTATAGAAAAAATGTACAAGTTCGAAATTCTTTCAAAATAATTGAAGAAATCTACGTATTTATAGAGATTGAAGTAAGCATCGAAAAGATATGACTGAAATAATTTACAGTATATTTGTAGTTGTGATACACAACCTTTTTATCAGATAAGGTAAGTTTGGTGGCTCAAACTTGCAACATCTCAACGCTTTAGAAAAGAATGTTAGACGCTTTTGTTACTTATTGTTGATAGCAAAAAAATGACAAGTGAATATACGAGGTTGATTGAAAGGAATTGGTGGGAAGCTTCAGGTTTGGATTTTTTCTTAATTTGATAGAGAGGTCAAAAATCTATTAAATTTATGGTCCAACCTCCCAGAATGTTTATAAAATCGTTCTTACTCTTACCTTTCTTTTCCAAGGAACTCGAGTTTTTTCACTTTTTTGTTGTTTGAAAACAACATTGAAATAAAGATTACA